ATATTGACGTCTTACTTGGAGAGCTGTCAGTATATTTCTGTCATATAACTGTCATATCCCCTGATGTAAAATGTTCTGTTCTTATTTAAACAGCTAACTGAATTTAATCTAACACTAAAAATTCACGAGGAAACATTTTCCCTGGGAACAAAAACAGCATGGTAATACGTGGAGATCCTGAAAAGTGCTCCAACAATGATCGCATTATATTTGAAATATTTGTTCAGTTCTCTTCCAAACCCCAGCAGCTGTGTGCTGTAGGTTTGAGTGTTTACTAAAATAGAAATAAAAGCGTTCTAACGTCTCACCTGTTTGTTTTCAGGCATACATGTGTACTATGTTTATTAAGACAGATTAAGCTTGTGTTTCAGTCATGTAGTGATTGTGTTTAACTGTATGAAGTTTATTAGACATTATGAAACAGACAATACAGAAAAGCCAATTTTGTCAAAGTCACTTAGAAAAACAGATTTAACTACATCATGTGTAATTTCCATTCCAAATATTAATCACAGTTCAGAGGGGGCGGCAGTAAAAACTCCGGAGCTGTGATGTCATCAGTACACCGCCGCTCCAATTGTAGAATGATTGTGCTGCATTCTCGGGAAGCCTGGACTCCCATGTGAACTTATGAAGAATGGACTTGCATACTTGAGAATTAAAAAACGGCCCCGGTTAGATACATTTGGAAGATGGTACATCAGGATTCAGTGTCCCTAAACTCCCTTAAAATGCTGTTAAAGCTTGGAGCTCTTCCAGACTGGGACCTCTGCCAGATGCTCCCAGCGGACACTCGTATGTTTGAATGGGCCAGGCCTTCTCCACCATCTGGTCCATCTCACCCCTAGGTAGCAAGTGAAAACCAAGCTTCACTTGCTGAGTGTACAAGGTGTAGAGCTGCAGGTCTTGTGATACGATTACAAATACCTGAACATCAGTTGGGTTCACATCAGGTAGATCGTTCTTCCCAAACACCTTTCAGGGACTCCAAGATGGCTGAGTATTCTGAACTATTGTCTGTGGTACAAAGCAAAACCAACAATGAGGACCCTTAATTGGTCCAGGGAAAAAACTTCCTCATCCTCTGGAGAAACCCAATATCCAAACACAGAGCTGGGGCCATACAAGTATATATAAAAGTATACCCACCCCTGCTCGCTGCCTCTCAACAAGAGAAACTTCAAAGTAGAACAAAGCCTTAATCCAAGAAACTGCTTCTAACATGAGCTGTTTGTTGAGGTGAACCCAAATATTTCTAGCCAGTACTGGTGATTCTACATCAGCCGCAGGTTTTCTCAGTACTATAACTTCACTGCAGTGTGTAAACAGAAGAAACAGGGGTGCTATGATGTGTTGCAATAAGTGATATGAGACCGGCTGATCCTGATTCACTCTGTACCTCATTCTGTCATAGATCAAAGATGGAGTCTGAACCAGACCGGCCAGCTTTATCAGCTCCATCCGCAGGTAGGAGCTCAGTATTTTAGGACTTTAACACAGAAACACACAAAGCTCAAACTGACCAATCGTAGCTCTCATTTCCTTCAAAGAGTGAGGTAGGATGCATGCTTATTATGTATCTTTTTTCCTGTAGAGGATGAGCTCAGCAGGGTACGGTGCAGATTTGTTTGGAGGGTTTCAAAAGAAATCGTCACACAGCTCCTGGAGGCTCTGGTAACGGACCGTGTCCTGAATGATCTGGAGAAAGCATCAATAGTGGAGGGGAACTCGGTCACAGCAGATAAGGCTCGTGACTTGATTGACACAGTAAAGAAAAAAGGAGGAACTGCCTCCAGGATAATGATCAGACATCTTCAGACCATAGATCCGACTCTCTCCTCTGAGCTGCATTTGTCCTTTGAGCCATCTGCGCAGCCAGGTGAGCTCTGTTTGTTGTTATGGTGGTTTTATTGCTCAGTTTACTTCAATTCTGAGAGATTTAACTGTGTGTGTGTTTAACTGTAAATAAAGTTTTTTTTCTGTTAATATATTGAACCCTTTACTTAATATTTTAATTACAAATCCTCTTTTCTCTTCAGAGCTACATTTCTCTGGACATTTCTGTATCTCATTTAAAGTTTGTTGCTTTTTGATTGATCCACGTTTGTTATCTGCAAAGACACTGATATGAAAATTGTGTCTTTGTGGTTGGTGAAAACACATGAACCTCCTCGTGAATGAGCTGAAAAACGTGAAAAACCAGTAGTTACCCAGTAGTTTCCTCGTTTCAGACACTGAAACTGGATTATTTCCATTTGATGGTTAGAGGGTTAATTCCATGTCCCAATCACTAATTTGACCACATGAATTTAAATGAAGTTGTTTTTAGTGACCATAAGTCAGTTTCTTTTACTGTATCTGTTAATTCAGAGTCCCATCCTCAAGGTTCTACTAGGCGCAGGCGCTTTATTGATGACTCTGTCATTTTAAAGTTTTCTTCTCTTTTTAATTTTAAAAGTTCCTCTAAC